CAATGGTGGTAGAGGGTGGTAACGATTGCGAGGGTGGTAGTGATGGTGATAGAGGGTGCCTTCTTCAGTGATTTAGCAATTCTTCTAACTCCTCCAATATTGTTGGAGTTATATAGAGCTACAGCCTCAGCTGCAGCCTTCACCACCATTATGGATGGCTTAATCTTTCAGTGGCCCTTATACACCCAACAACAACAATAGAACACCAATTGTGACATACATAATGACTTATTTTATTTATTCTAGAGTATGTTCCATGTTTCTATGTTATTAATATTGTTTATTATGTCATATTAGTTGAATTGTGATAGATAAATAAGCTGTAGAGTTGATATTAGTGTCATATTCTCCAACAATAAGCTTGCCTCCCCTCCCTCTGCCACACACCAACAAGAGTCTACAATAAAGGTAAGTGTGATGTTAAATGTTCATTTATACATATTATTAGTGCTTTACATTTATTTGTCATTCTTTTCTGCATGTAAATCTATATTTTAGCTAGGGAAGTGACCCCTGATAAGGACTTCGTATGTAGAGTCCTTATGGAGGGGGATTCCCCTTCCAAACAATAACCTCTCTTCCCTATCTCCTCCTCCCTGTCTTCCATTCATCAACAACAGCTTTCAATAAAGGTAACTGTCATGTTGAATATTCATTCCTTTGTGCATGTAAATCTATCTTTAAGGTAAAAAAAATTATTTTGTTGATACTTCTGGGTGTCTGGAACGAATTAATTGGATTTACATTATTTCTTTTGGGGAAAATGGTTTCGCAACTCGTCAATTTCGATATTAGTCGCACACTCTGGAACGGATTAATTACAAAAAACTAGGGTCTACTGTATTTCCTTGGTATCCCCTGCGAGTGGCGGCATATCTGAAGTTCGCTCGTAACTCTGATTTTGGCTCTCAACTCAAAGCAAAAAATCGACCAAGCAACGGCTTGTAACTCGGAAAACTTGTAAGTTGGGGCACTCGTAAGTCAAGATACCACTGTATTTGTTCCAGCTCTGATATTTCTCCTGCTTTTAATGGGGCCATCATCACTGAGCAATATTCTAAATGAGTGAGCACTAGTAATTTGAAGAGTGTCACCATGAGCATTATTTTTCTTGTTTTGAAAGTTCTCAATACTCATTCCATCATCCTCCTGGCTGTCATGAACTTTGTCTTGTTATGGTCTTTAAGAGAAAGGTCAGCTGATGTAATTATTCCCAAGTCTTTTGTGTACTCGACTGAAGAAGCCTACTGTGTAGGCGTAACATTTCTAAATAAAGATACCATTTTAATATTCACTCCCAAGTCTCTTGTGTTCTTTTTGTTCTATTTGGTGGCCCTCTTGAGCCATTTGGCTAGTGGTACCACTACAGTGGAACCTCGACTTGCGAGTGTCCCAACTTACTCATTTTTCAAGATACGAGCCTTTGTTCGGTCAATTTTTTGCTCTGAGTTACGAGCCAACATCCAGGTTAAGAGCGAGCTTCCCCTTCTTCCCCCTCAACCCACAATCTGTGTACCTCGCTTGTTTATCTATGGTTTCATGCTTTAATTCCATGGACATCATCCTCTTTTTCTTCTCAGCACTGTCCTTTGCACTTTCTTATGACACATGGTTAGAAAAATAAATTTGGCATAATTGCACAAAATGCAAGCAAAAACATGAGAGAAGTGCACTGAGTTGGCGGTGTTCTGAAGCTCCTCATTATTATAATTATTATAATTATTATTATTATTATTATTATTATTATTATTATTATTATTATTAATTTAGGGAACTGGAGCACAGATCCAATTCCCTAGATCATGAGCCCCTCACCAGCGTGGTGAGGGGCACTTAATCTAGGGAATTGGATCTGTGCTCCAGTTCCCTAAATTAATAATAATAATAATGTGTGCTTCAGAACGCCGCCATTAGTTGGTGCAGCGAACGCCACAGCATCAGCTGAGCTGTGCAAATGTTTACGTCGCCGTGGAAGCATTTCTCGTATTTTGCTTGTGTTTTGTGCAGTTATTTTACCAAATATCTTCTTTTTAACCATGGGTTCTAAGAAAGTAAGTGCAACGTAGTGCTGAGAAGAAAAAGAGGATGATGTTCAAGGAATTAAAGCAGGAAATCATAGATAAAAAGCGAGGTGTGCAGGTTGTGGGTTGAGGGGGAAGCATCTCTGCTCCAGGATAAGTGTGTACATACACTTTATATAACCAGTTTATTTCTTTACATTCTCTATTATGTTTTATTATGTTTTATACAATATTTCTTATTTATAAATACATTGTTTCAGTGTTTTTCTTATGAAACTAGTGATCTAGTGCAGTTAGCCTCACAAATGCTCCTTTTTCTCTTACAATAAGAGGATGGGAAGAAATGGTCTATGTGGGAGCAGGAATGGCTGCCACCACTAGTCACATGACATATTTTATTCATTCAAGAGTATATATCATGTTTCTTTGTTATTTATATTGTTTATTATGTAATATTACATGAATTATGATAGGTAAATAAGTCGTCGAGTTGATATTGGCGTCATGTTGAAGTATTTTGTCCTGCCTCCTGAGAGCAGGAATTTCGCTGGAATGGATTAATGACATTTCATTTAATCTAAATGAGGAAAGTTGATTTGATATACAAGCAAATTGAGTTACAGGCTAGATAACGGAATGGATTACTTCCATAAGTCAAGGTTCCACTGTACATTGGACCCTCCGATATTGGCCAAATTGGATTTCAGTCACTTTTTTGGCTGAAATTCTATCCTGGATTTTGGTCAACAACTTGGAGATCGGCTGTATTGGACGTGTCTGCCCACCACTTTGCTACGTTGAGAGTCGGTCTGGCTGTGTGTCTGTGTGAGTGAGCAAGACTTTGTGCACTCATCCAAACATTTCATTATAATCCATTGTTTTTGTGGTTGTTTATTGAGTGTAACTGGGAAATAAGCCACGATGCCCCCCAAGAAAGTTCCTAGTGCCAGCCCTTTGGTAAAGAAAGTGAGAAACACGATAGAATTAAAGAATTCTGGGACTTTGAACTCTGCTTGAAGAAAATTGTGGCTTGAATGTGTCCAAGAGAAGGATTTTGAAGGGTTTGAGGCTGACCCTGATCCTGACCCTGTCAACTCTACCTGTTGTGGAATGTATTGTGGCATTGGGGAAGTCCATGGATGGGGTTGGATGTGAGTGGCCAGGATCAGGATGTGGAAGAGTTGGAGGACCACAGGGAAGAGCTAACCACTGAAGAGCTGCAAGACCTTCATCTGCAACAGCAACAGATCACAGCTGAGGAAATTGCTTCAGAGGAGGAGGAGGAAGAGAGAGAGGAGAAGGTACCTTCTTCAGTGATTAACCCCTTCAGGGTCCAAGGCCCAAATCTGAAGTGGTGCCCCAGTGTCCAAGAATTTAAAAAAAAAAAATTATTTTTTTTCTTATGAAATGGTAGAGAATCTTTTTGTGAAGGTAATAAAACAAAAAGTATGAAATTTGATGAAAAATTGACGAAATTATGCTCGCGAATTTTGATGTGTCAACGATATTTACGAATCGGCGATTTTGCCAACTTTGACTCCCATTTTAGGCCAATTACATTATTCCAGCCAACCAAATTCTTAGCTATTTCACTAGTATTACTTCTATTCTATCGATTGAGCACAAGAAATCAGCAAGTCAACTGTTTCAACTACAAATTAAAGCGATCGGAAATTGTTAATTTGGCCAATTTAACACAAAGTTCAAAATATTCCAATTTCAAAATAGGGTCCAGAATAAACAATGTAGGTATTCCTGGAACTAAACTAACATTTCCTCTGTTCATTAGTTACGTTTTGAGGCTTTACAAATAAATTCCATTTTGATTTTTTATTCACATATGAATTTTTATTCACACCAAAAAATAGAAGATTTACTGTTATGCAGTACTGTAATAATTGTATAAATATCATCACTATATTTGTGAATGCATATTAACCGCATTCGTGTT